GAATACTACCGGAAGATAGAATAAGGACCAGTCATGCCAGTTAACAAAAGAAGCTCATGTTTGTATACATTTGTATTTTTATTCACATCGAACTCGTACGACAAAATGTAGTGAAATCAGTACCAAATACGTGTCAAACTCCTTTGTCTTTATTAACTCCTGTTATATATGTATATTATCAAGAGCGTATGAAGAAGGAGAGCGTACAACGGTGAAATGCTGAAACCACGTTGTAGTATTAGTCGAATTATGGGCATCGTATAGAGACATGCGGATCAATAATACTGCAAAGAATCGGCAAAGTAAAACGGGAAAAGTTTATTAATTCGACTAATACTGCAACATGGTTTCAGCATTTCATCGTTGTACGCTCCCCTTCTTTATACCCTCTTGATATTAAAATTACAATATAATATATAAACTAGTATTCAATTTGTTGGTCCATTGCTATTGTGTCCATAGCAACTGAAATTAAGCAAGCTCTAGAACAGGTAATAAATTGATTATGGACTTATATATTATGCACGTGACATGTGCGTGTATGAATGCCTGTTCATGTGGGCGAAATGGGTGTAATTTTTCATTGCATGTGAGCTGTTTTCAGCTTCAATATATAATGGATGCAAGTAAAAAGGCAAAACATTGTCTGCCTGCCTGCCTGCCAGCCTGCCAGTCTGCCTGCCTGCCTGCCAGCCTGCATGTCTGCCTGCCTGTCTGCATGTCTGCCTGCGTGCCTGCCTGCCAGCCTGCCTGCCTGCATGCCTGCCTGCCTGCCTGCCTTCCTGCCGGCCTGCCAGCCTGCCTGCCTGCATGTCTGCCTGCCAGCCTGCATGTCTGCATCTATGCCTGTCTGTCTCGTCTGTCTGTCTGTCTGTCTGTCTGTCTGTCTGTCTGTCTGTCTGTCTGTGTGTTTCACTTACTAATAAGATAGCTGGTTACCTATACCATTACATGAGCTACTAGAGGAAAGTTAGTACGTAGATGATTTATATTTTATAGTTGTGGAGGTATATAACTCTCAGTCACAGTTACATCATCACACTCATATAACTGTTAACCCATAGAGTCAGCAACACAGAGTCAGCAACACACCGATACGCAGTTACAACTACAATAACAACCAGTAATAATGAGAAAGCTTTGTATAGAGAAAGCCTAAGCCTAAGCCCCGCTCGACCATAGATGGCTAAAAAAAACTGCTACAGAACCAGGATGGAATTAATGGCAAAATTTCTCCCTCTACCCTAGTGCATTATTGAACACGTGCTGCGTTGTGCTGCCAGCATTATTAGCTTATTCATCTGCTTCATTAACATTAGCGCCTAGGCAACAGTCGCCACTACTAACCAAGCGACGGAAGAACAGCAGCTAAAAACACGGCCATGTGATCGTGGCAACGAAACGTGGATCCATACCGGCGGGGACGCAGTCACATAGAGCACACAGCAGCCGCAGCAGCAGCAGCAGCAGCAGCAGCAGCAGCAGCAGCATTACTAGCCACCTACTCAAACTCAGCAGTGGACGCAGCGGCGTAAAGTTCACACACATCACGACAACAACATCGCCACCATCATCATCACTGTTTAGTTACTCCTCTCTACATTAACGCTCATCAAACCCTGGACACTAGCAACTCGACTGGAGACAGGCTATAGATCTTGCACTAAGACTAGAAACGGAAAAGCTGCAGTAACAGACGAACTTTGCATCTCTGGTGATTACAGACAGCAAGCTGCAGTAACAGACGAACTTTGCATTTGTTTACAGGACGTGCGTATAGAGAGTAGCAGACGTCAGCATGTCTCAGGCTGCTGCAAACATCTTACTTTCTCTCACACTGCTGCTCACGTATCTGGGAGCAGCCAGATCCCTCGCTGTCTTATCAATTGAAGAGAACCCTCTTCTCTTTAATACTGTCAAGAGCAATAATCTGGCGAGGGCGTATGACGGAGACACGTCCACCTGTTTCGTGATAGACGATAAGACGATGCTGCCTACCTTCACCTACCACGTTACCACCGACACGACCTTCGCCGCCGCCACCGTCACCGTGACACAGTCAAACAACGGGCCGTGTGAGAACGTGGAGCTCTGTGCAACCACGCCACATCGACTAGCCTCACCCGTGGAGGTGCCAGCCGGCACTGCCAGCTTACCCGACATGTTCCACGGAGACCGCACAGAGTGTGTTCCAACACCTCCACCTGGTGCTGTTGATGGCAGGAAAATTTGCTCCTATACCTGCACATGCCCGGCGGGAGTTATCTGTAGCGCGGTGTTTGTCACACAGGCTGTTGATGTATTAATCTGTGAGATATCTGTCACATAGATATCCCTGCTTTCCTCTGCTAGACTGCATAGCGTTTATATTGACAAGATCTATTCCTGTAATGGAATTCTATCAGCCTTCTAAATCTACGCAGCTAAATCTCTGAATCATTTAGTGAACTATTAATTAAAACCTTTAATATATGTCTGGCTGACAATATGATCTGTGTCATAATGCTTTTATGATTATTATATGAAGTTTTCATATCCAATTAATTAATATGACCACCATATGATATTAATGATCACTATATATATATTATGTGTGTTATAATATTTTTGTGATTATTATATATAGTCTTTAAATGTGTATGTTAAGTTATAGTATTCACTTAGCTGTAACGTTGCTCTCACGTGTTACGAATGCAAACAATTTGTAATAATGACTACAAACACCATTGAAATTATGAACTGAAACAACTATGTAAATGTTACAGATTTGCAAAAGGCACCATAGAAAAGTGCAGCATCATTGACAGTTTCAGATTATATAGCGATATGATTATATACATATATATGCAAACTATAATGAGGGTTAAGAGAGATGTGAGACATGTAGCATAGCCATGCACGTGTACATTTGCATGCTGTTCCCCAGGACTATATGATCATTAATGAACATATTGTAAATGCTTAAAGCAGTATAATGTGTGACAATAAAACAAGTGTACGTATACCCAAACAATAGTTTTCAAACAAATAATACCTTTCGTGGAAAACATTGGGAGATGATGTACTATGTTACTGTCTGCAGCCTAGCAAGTAGAAGTTCTATAAGTAACAAGTCACCCTTACTGCTCTAGCGCTACACCCCTGTCACCTACCTATAACTGGTGCCTTTTCCTCCGCTATAATCACTGCTTTCAGATTTTTTTCTGAAGAAACTAGTTTTTCCTTCTGTTTCTCCGGCTCTGGCCTCCTAATCGCTATGGAGAGGACAAGCTTCTTTGGTTTATCTGGAGATGGCTTTATCGTTGTTCGATTGAAAGCCTTTACAGAAACAGAATGAATGTCACAGTCAGTTATCCAAATAAATTTTCTACTCATACAGAATCTAATAACTAATAACCTTTTCAGCATTACACATCCTCTAAGTGAAATTGTACATTCTGTAAGTGGAAATTATGGAGGCTCCCTTTTATCACATCAGTCTCACACCATAAATCAATATGAGAATCATTGAATTCGAGAATCATCCAACAATCATCCAACAATCATTTCAGTGGACATCATAAATGATAGCCAAAGTGAGTAAGCAGTGTGTCTACTACTGCCAGCCCCCATGCGTTATAATTCTGTAAATAACAAAAATATTCAAAGTTTATCTAGTACTTTTTTGTTCCCTCATCATACTACAGAAATTTCACATTTCCACTTGTCTCTGCCGGCGCAATAAGTACCAGTGGTTGTTTGTTATACAGTACCCACCTGGATCTACATGCACTCCAATCTTCTCATACACGTGCTGCCATCTATGGGCACTCACCATCACTGAGCTCTTCTCGTCGCGGCTGCGTTGTTGCTCCTTCAGGCGGCGTGCAGAACTCTCCTCCTCTCTCCGCGGACGGGACGACGAACTCTCCTTACTGCTGCGACGACTCGAGCTGTTACACTTGCGTTTCCGCGGGCGACCGGGGCGTTTGCTTGAGTAGTGATCGCTGTAACATAAATGCATAGGTCACCAGCAACATGGAGCTACGCTTGCTGCAAACTGAACTTGTGACAGCATGTCAACCTACTGATCAGTGAAAAAAATACACGGGGGCTTGGGGCAATTTAGCCCCCGAAATGCCAAAAAGAGCCCCGGAAATGCCAAAAAGAACCCTCGTAAATTTGCATAGCGTTCAATCCAAACCAAATTTTAGAGTGCTATTTTCATGCATGCGAGCTTGAAAAGTAGCCCCCGAAAAATTAATTTTAATTTTTTCCCTGCTACTGATAGATAACTTTGGGAATCGTCACAGTGTATGTTTACAATGCAGCGTCAGCATGACTGCTGCTACATGAGTGAAGATTACGTACGACTTGTCGCGTCGTGGCTGAAGCTTCGACAGCTCCCTCTGTTTCTCCTTGTAACGTCGCTGCAACTCAGCGAGTCTCATGCGCATGTCCAGCTCCATCGCATCCATGTCATCCACACTGTGCTCAGGACTGCCGAACCTACACGCACCCGCTGCCTGCCTGCTGGAAACAACAACAACAATGCGGTCAGCTGTAAACAACAACAACAACACGATCAGCTGCAAACAACAACAACACGGTCAGCTGCAAACAACAACAACACGGTCAGCTGTAAACAACAACAACACGGTCAGCTGTAAACAACAACAACACGGTCAGCTGTAAACAACAACAACAACATGGTCAGCTGTAAACAACAACAACAACACGGTCAGCTGTAAACAAAAACAACACGGTCCGCTGTAAACAACAACAACAACATGGTAAGTCTTATTAGGTGAGTAACTTGGGCTGATATTTACACACCATAGTTGTTCAGACTTGTTTGTATGTAACAGAGTGAGAAGTATGGAAGCGGGTGCTTACCTGCTGACTTTACTCGTGTCATGCTGGGGCTTGCTGCCAGGCTGACATGACTGTTGGATGAAGTCACACATGTTCTTGTCCGGAGTGCTCGCCTTGTTGCGGTTGATATCATGGATCAGATTGCTCACATGCGTGCCTTCACTGAAGATGCTGTCCGTCGAATCCTGACGCTTCAGCGACCGCTCGTCGCTACACACCTCCACCAGGAGGCGCTGATCACTACTGTCATGCGCCGGGGAATCCTCGCTGTCGCAGGTTGCCAGGGAGGGAGGCTCACTGCAGACCACTGATAGGGGGCGCTCCTCACTGTAGGAGTCTGCCAGAGAGGGCTCCTCACTGCAGCCATCTGCAGAGAGATGCTGCTCACTACAAACCTCAACCAGGGGTCGCCCCTGACTGCTGGCCTCTTCCAGGGGGCGCTTTTCACTGCAGGTCTCAATCAGGGGGTGCTGCTCAACCTCACATTGCACCAGTTTTGTGTATTTTTCCTCAGCGAGAGCACACAGCAGTCCTAAACCAGTGCTGTCAGATGCCTGACTACATGTAGGTGACAGCAGATCCCCTGCTACTGCTGCTGCTGCTGCTGCTGCTGCTGCTGCTGCTGCTGCTGCTGCATTCTCCTCCACCGCTGATGCGGTATCACGGCGACACAGCAATGGCTGAGCATCTGCAAACAGATGCCACGGGGAAGCTTTGCTGTCAGTAAATGGTTGCCACGGCGATAACTTCCCATTCGAGAATGGCTGCCACAGTGCTGGGGTGGCAGCATCTGAGTGTTGCCATGGAGACACCTTTGCGTCTGTAGATGGTTGCCAGGTAATGCCTGAGGCCATGATAGTAGCAACCTCTCTCTCTTTATCTGTGATGTCTTGTACAGGGTCTAATTCAGGGACAGTGGCGTTACTACTCCCACTGTCATGACGCGCGGGCAGCAATGCCGTTGGTATCGGATGACTGGTTAATTGTTGAGCACTTGTCACCGGCTCAATTTCCATTTTCTCTAGCTTGGGTGGCTCAGCGAGGCCATCTTCTTCTGGCGTGTGCGCAGCATCCGTTGGCTTCTCCAATGCTGCGTCCACAACGACCGGTGCACCGCTAGGGGGCGCCACGATGGCAGCAACTCCGCTGTCAGCAGCTTGCTTTATGAGTCTCGGCATCGGACTGTCACGTGACTCTGCTTGCCTGAGCAGTGGCGGAGGAGAAGAGTGATTCACTAGTGATTCACCCGCCACCTCTCCCTCCATTCTGCCGACGCGTGCAGCGACTTCCCCCTCCACCTTCGCTCCATCCACCACCCTGCCAGCTGCTTCCAGAGGTGACTTTTTAGCCTTGCTGCCACCGCTGCGATTCCGCTCCTTTGTGCGAGACAGGAGCGTGCGGGGCGTTGTCATGGTTTCCAGTACGATGTCATCCACCTGACACTCGATGGATTTCATCTCCTTCTTCAGCAGGATAGGAGGAGTAGCCTTGCTCTTCTCCTGCTCCTTCCTGCGGTCTCGCTTGCCGGGGCTGGCCTGCTTGATGGTGCGGTGTTTCTCAGCGACATGGCTAGCGTGTTCCTGCTGCGCGCTCGCGGCTGCCGCCGTCAGCGGTGGTGTCTGCTGAGGCTTCACCGTCACGGTGAGCGGACGCGCGGTCGCAGCGGGCGAGGCTGCTCTGAGGGAGGAGACTGGCACCAGCATGGGGGGAGGGTCATATACGGCAGAGGGGTAAGGGTACGGGTACGGCTGCACCCCTGCGTAGTAAGGAAAGCCAGCCGGCTTCCTCTCTATCGCATCTGCTCCAGGAGACGGTGACACAGAATCATCATCAATGTCCTTCCGCTGTTCCTGTAGGAAAAATGTGATGTTGTGACCAATCATGGCATGTCATATCTACATATACTGTTCACACAAGTTTGAACAGATGCCTTTTGGTTGGTAGGCTACATATCATTAAAAATCAATGCAATAGAGCTTTGCCTCAAACTAGTTTTTTCACAGTTTTTTTTTGTCAAGTGTTTAACTTTGTTTAGTTAGTTGAAAGCAACAAGCTTATAATATCTTCTTGGACACTGGTCATCATACAACCAGGTTAACCAGGTGTTGTTAGTAACCACAGATTCAACCCATTGTCACGAGGTGTTGCTAGTAACCATGGTTACCTGTTGAAGCTGGTAATGTTGTTGAACAGCCATTGCATAACTGATGTTTCTCTGCCTCTCCACGAGATGGCGCTGGAACTCGCCTTGCTCCTGTGCTGCCATCTGTTGCTGGGCCACTATGAGTTCCTGCAGGTGTTGGGAGTGGATAGGAGTAGGTGTGGCTGACTGAGGGTAGCCAGACCACACCCCAGCCGGTGGCAGCTCCCGTGGGTCTGAAAAACCACACACAAGAAACAGTAAGAAAATTTCTGCTATGCACATTACACACACATATATATAGAGAAGAACACAAGAATGTGGTGTGCATAAAAATTACTAGAAAAACAATTGTGAAGTTTTCAAACGAAGGTATAATAAACAGGTTTTCATCTTACCTAGACTAGCTGCGGGAACCAGGATGAGGTTTTCATCTTACCTAGACTAGCTGCGGGAACCAGGATGAGGTTTTCATCTTACCTAGACTAGCTGCGGGAACCAGGATGAGGTTTTCATCTTACCTAGACTAGCTGCGGGAACCAGGATAGAGTTTTCATCTTACCTAGACTAGCTGCGGGAACCAGGATAGAGGTTTTCATCTTACCTAGACAGCGCGGCGGAACCAGATGAGGTTTTCATCTTACCTAGACTAGCTGCGGGACCAGGATGAGGTTTTCATCTTACCTAGACTAGCCGCGGGAACCAGGATGAGGTTTTCATCTTACCTAGACTAGCCGCGGGAACCAGGATGAGGTTTCATCTTACCAGACTAGCGCGGAACCAGGATGACGGTTTTCATCTTTACCTAAGACTAGCTGCGGGAACCAGGATGAGGTTTTCATCTTACCTAGACTAGCCGCGGGAACCAGGATGAGTTGACCGTTCATGGGATGTCTGCTGATCTGATAGCCTCTGGGTGGCAGGGGCAAGTGTGAAGCATCCATCGATGAGGACATAGGGTAGCCATGCTGCCTAGCCATAGGGGGGATAAGGCCATGACGAAGGATAATGTGAGGCAGGGAGCGCTCCTGTGTCCTCAGACCAAGGTCGCATGTGTGCCCCTGTGAAAATACAGAAAGTCTAAGCTGACACTATAATTGTGGCAATAAATATATATACTGATGATTGCTTTTACGTTTACTTTTTTCACGTACACTTCATGCAGTAGCAAAGGAATATGAGCAGCAGCTATGTAGTATGGAAGGTATATGTGTGAGACCTATATGGTAGGAAAGGTATATGTGTAGCAGCAATATGGAATGGAGGTATATGTCTAGCAGTAATGTGGTAGGGAGGTATAGGTGCAGCAGAAATGTGGTAGGAAAAGTATGTGTAGCAAGGCAGGGAGGTATATGTGTATCAGCAATTTGGTAGGCAAGGCATATGTGTAGCAGCAATGTGGTAGGGAAGGCATATGTGTAGCAGCAATGTGGTAGGGAAGGCATATGTGTAGCAGCAATGGTGTAGCAGGGTTCTCCCTACGTTGCGCAAACCGGGGCGCGCGCGCCCCGTTTGGGAAAACTCCCCCTGTTTGAATCGTTGCGCGCCCGTTTGAATTACCTCCGCCCGTTTAAATTCCACCACAATAAAAGTTTTCCAGCGCGGGAATTGGCTCAGAATTGCGCGTTCGACCGGACACCCGACGCGGTGTATTTTTACCGTACACGCATGCACTGCAGACAGTACACAGTTAACCTGACAATGCACAGTTAATACGTAACTAACTGTACACCGACTCGGCTATCTTATAATACAAGAAACCCCAAATACGCGTCTATGGTTGTGGTGGCGATTTTCGCATTAATTAGTCGTACGGTAAAAATACACGCTCCCCGGACCCCCCTAGTTTCCCCCCTCCCCCTACCCTCCCCTCCCCTCCCCCTACCCCTCCCCTCCCCTGTTTGAATTTCATCCTGGGGAGAACCCTGGTAGGGAAGGCATATGTGTAGCAGCAATGTGGTAGGAAGGCATAGTGTAGCAATGTGGAGTAGGAAGGCCATATGTGTAGCAATGCGGTAGGCAAGGCAATGTGCTAGCAATGTGGTAGGGAAGCAATTGTGGAGCCGCAATGTGGTTACGGGAAGGCATATGTGTAGCAATGTGGTAGGGAAGGCATATGTGTAGCAGCAATGTGGTAGGGAAGGCATATGTGTAGCAATGTGGTAGGGAAGGCATATGTGTAGCAGCAATGTGGTGGAAGGCATATGTGTAGCAATGTGGTAGGGAAGGCATATGTGTAGCAGCAATGTGGTAGGGAAGGCATATGTGTAGCAGCAATGTGGTAGGGAAGGCATATGTGTAGCAGCAATGTGGTAGGGAAGGCATATGTGTAGCAGCAATATGTAGGAAGCATATGTGTAGCACAATGTGTAGGAAGCATATGTGTAGCAGCAATATAGTAGGGAAGGTATGTATGTATCATATAAAGGGTACTCAGGGTTCTCCCTACGTTGCGCAAACCGGGGGCGCCCGCCCCCTTTGGGAAAACTCCCCCCACGTTTCAATCGTTGCGCCCCGTTTAAATTACCTCCGCCCCGATAAAATTCCACCACAATCAAAGTTTGACAGCGCGGGAATCGATCGTCAAGAATTCCCATTCGACCAGGCCGCGCGACGCGTGTATTTTTACGGGACCACTAATGAGTAACGTACTACACTACGCATGCACTGCAGACCACACACAAGTACAAAACAGTCACCCTGTCCAAAACCCTAACACAAACTGTACCGACTCGGCTGTCTTATATACAAATACCCAAAATACCGTCTATGGTGTGGTGGCGATTTACGCATTACGGGTAAAAAAAACGCCCCCGGACCCCCCCCCCCTAGTTTCCCCTCCCCTCCCTCTCGTTTCAATTTCATCCTGGGGAGAACCCTGGTACTACTTACCCATCATCACTCCAGCTCCTAGTGTCAGTGGCATGTCAGCCATACCAGCGGGCCCCACGGCTCCCGAAAACTTCTCTCTGTCTGCCAGCAACTCCTTTTGCTCCCTACCAACAATGAAATAGATGTATCAGAAGACCTGCTACAGAGCCTTGCTCAGATTCATGTATGTTTGTTAAGTAACGACTAACAGTGGTGTATTGGCATATAGAATCCTCAAGCAAGCCAACATGAGAAAATAATGAAAATTATCAGTCAAACAGAATCTTTATGACCAGGATACGTGGCAATAAATTACGGTCAAGTAAGCCATCATGTCAGATATAATTATAGTAAACAGAAACACAATAACGTATAAACAATGTGTGCATCGTAGGATAGTCTTGTGCCAACAACCTTAAGAAGGCCTCTCTGTCTCTGGGGTCAAACAGGCTCATTGTTGCCAGGCATGAACATATTCCATCTCTCTCTTCTCCTTGCTCTCCTTCCTCTCTTTTGAGTGCTTCCGGGTATCTTGTCGTTGACGTGCCACGGCTATGCCAACTGGAATGCCAATTCCTGTAGCACATAAAATACGTTAGGAGAGGATTAAAAAGAGAAAACTGAAAAACACCTGCAGCTACACCACACACATATGAAACACAACACACAATATGAACACCTGATCACACGTGCATGCAACCATGCACATGCACCTGCCCACACACACAAACACGTATGCACACGTGCACGCACTCACGCACACTAGCAACACTAGTTACACTAGCAACACTAGCAACACTAGCAACACTAGCAACACTAGCAACACCAGCAACACTATCAACATCAGCAACACTATCAACACCAGCAACACTAGCAACACTAGCAACACCAGCAACACTAGCAACACTAGCAACACTAGCAACACCAGCAACACTAGCAACACTAGCAACACCAGCAACACTAGCATATAGCAACACCAGCAACACCAGACACAATATCAACACCAGCAACACAGCAACACTAGCAACACTAGCAACACCAGCCAACCTAGCAACACCAGCAAACACTAGCCAACACTAGCAACCAGAAAACATTAGCAACACTAGCAACACTAGGCAACACTAGCAACACCAGCAACCAGCAACACTAGCAACACCAGCACCACTGCAACATAGCAACACCAGCAACATAGCGAACACTAGCCAACACTAGGCAACACTAGCACTAACACACTACAAACAAGCAACACTAGCAACACCAGCAACATAGCAAACACTAGCAACACTAGCAACGATACCCCAACACTAGCACCTAGCAACACACTAGGCAACACCAGCAACACTAGCAAACACCAGCACACCTAGCAACACTAGCAAAACACCAGCAACACTAGTCCAACACACCAGTTAGACATGCAATCACCACTGATCAATACTTGAGTCTGCTGAGCGAGATGGACAGTCGAGCAGTGCCATCTTTGTTTGTGGGCCACCTGTTGACTGACTAGAGCTGAGCTCGGAATTGTTCATGTCGGACGTGGCGGAAGGGCACGGACGTGGCATTACCGCAGCTGCTCCTGCATGACCTTCCATTCACCACCAGCCTCACTTTTTTAAGTTCTCGTGTCAGGTATAAGGGTGAGCCTCCCACTAGCGCCTGAGGCACATTACCTGCAAAACACCAACCCCGCACTTACATATCACAGTTTCAAATTCACTAATTCCATCTTCCTTACAACAGACTATAATGCCTACATAACAATACACTGTGCTACTTGGCATCTATCATCCTAATCCAGACCATTACAGGCTTTCAGATTTGAAAAGTACAGGAGGACTACTGAATGACTCCCCTAGGACACCTAAGGGGGACTTTTCACGCTGCATAAATCACACCCTTAAGAGCAGATGGAGAGCTCCACTAAAAAATCAACACCCTTAAGAGGACGCATGATGGAGAGCTCACTAAAAATTCACACTTAAAAAGGGATGGATGGAGAGCTCTGAGGGCCCTCCATCATGCTCTTGGTCGTGTGACTAGATGAATCATGACCAATCCTCAGTCTAGAGTGAAATCCAAAACGAAAATTGGATGTCATGTCAATCTACTGATTATCATCATCTTCACCTTCATTCATTCAATGGCTTTCGTCAGTTACATTCTTTTCATCCAACAACCCAACACATAGCCACAGATTATAAAAAGAGTTGATCGGATTGTAAAAATAAACTTGTTTATTTATTCTGATTTCCATCTCTTAGAGATTTCTAATCCATGTACCTGCATATTTCAGCACAAATATCATCACAATCCATCAACAAACTAGCAAATTACTGTGACGTAGTAGCCACGTATGTAGCCCCTCAGCGCCTACGACTGTTTCACGTCGCGCAGAAAACCACTTCTCGCCACGTATAGTAGAAAAACGAGCCGGTAACTTGTGGCTACCGTATAGGTACCTGCAGGCGCGCAAATCCATTAGAAATGTGGGGGGGGGGACCAGCTAGCGAGCATGCGATGGGGCGTCTGGGGAAATTTTTGAAATTAGACCCCCTCAGATGCGTTTTCTGCGCAGGCAGGGGGGAAGGGGTCCGGCCCCTGGAACCCCCTGTACACGCCCCTGCACACACACGCACGCGACGCATTTGGTTTGTGATAAGATACGAAAAGGGTGTTCCAAATTCCAGTCATAAAATCAAGAAAACAAAAGCAGAAAACCAATCATTTGGTGTTGAGGCGGATCACAAAATAAATTGGTCGTTATTATTGTTGGTCCAGTCATATCATATATGCGTGAATATATACATCAATTTGCAATAAAATTACATTATTAAAACCGATGCTCGTTACTCAGTGTCCTCTTTGCGTGAATATAGCTCGTGTTCCCAGCTTAATCCTTGAATCAGTTCTAATGTGAGTGATATCTCCTAAACTTTCATAAACATACTTTCTCTTGATGATTTCTGCATAAGAATTATTTAATATAAACAAAAAAAAACGTGTTAAAAGAAACGACCTACAAATTTATCAAGACATCATTTTTAAGTTGTGCATGATCATTATTATGCTCTCAAATGCATTTAATGAAATGAAAGCTGGCCAAAAAAAGAAGGAAAAAGGGAAAGAAGTCAATCGTTGACGCACTATCACACACAATAAAAAGGGTTCTCACTCACAAACACACACACACACACACACACACCACACACACACACACACACACACACACACACACACAGACACACACCACACACACACACAACCACACACACACACACATACACGACAAATCATGGTGATCCAAAATCGTGGGGGGGGACATTTGATATGATGTCCCCCTCTGAAATTCGTGGGGGTGGGGGCATGTCCCCCTTTCCCCCCCCTGGATTTGCGCCCTGGGTACCGGTATTTGGATGCTGTTGTTTAGTTGTATTTATATATATATATAAACAGACTACCAGAGGGTAGTAACCAGACCTGTACCCTTGCCATACGCTTCAGTTACTTACACACCACAATTGTTGTGTGTTGCTAACCTTTTTTGTCCCCCCTACATGAGACCTCATCGAGCGTATTTAACATAATAAACATACTTTTGGTGCGCGATTTCACACACTTTATAGAGGCGCGATGATGCGCGCACATGGCACAATTTCGGGTGCGCGGTTGGAGGCGCGAGCGCGATCGCGCCCCTTAAAATGAAAGGCTGCCATTATAAGAATATCAGACTATATCATTCTACAACAGTTACATCATAGCAGAACCAGTACATAACCTGCTATATACCAGACTCCATACACACATAACCTGCTCATGGATGCTGGCAGGGTATGAGGGTAATAATCCGGATGTTTTCCTCAGATCGTGTATGTCTCTCCTTCTCTCTCACACTCGTCTCCCTCTACACGACCCAGCATCCCCGCCCACGACGGCGCCCATCCAGCATGCCGCCGGGGGCGACGGCCGACAGTTTCACCTTCACCGGCGGCTCTCTGGGTGGATGATGTGCTTTAACTCCTTCGTCGGCGTCTTCTCGCCAGACCAGTGCCTTTCCCTTGGCATGTGACTTTAGTGATGACGACGGGCGTTTGCTCGTGAGATCGGCAAGGATAGGTGAGCAGTGCCCCACACCCAAGGTGCTCCTCTTATGTGGATGCATCAATCACTGGCGCCGCGCTGTCGCTTAGTAGCCATCTTCTCCAGCCTCCATCTTTACCTTGACCGCAGTCCCCGCTGACTAGTATCAACACTGGACAGTACGCCCCCTTCGGGTCCTGCTTGATGAGCGCGTCACCTTATCGAGATGCAGGAACGTACGTTGCTAGCAACACAGCCCGGTTTGCCCATTTGCTGGGCTGCACAGTGCTCCACGCAACCATCACGTGGCTGCACGTGAGGCTCCACCACCTCACTGTGGCATGACCGGTGGTACCACTGCCTCGCTGAGTGGCTGCAACGGTGGCTACCAACTGCCTCGCTGTGGCGTGCCACGTGGTACCATCACTTCACAATGGCTGCCGTGGTACCACCGCCTCACTGTGGCTGCATGACGGTAGCACCGGCTCATAGTGGTTGCACGTTTGCGCCCCTGTTGCAGGACTCTGTGTCCGTACTGGGGTGAGAGGCTTGCCCATGGTGGTTAGAATCGGTCCAACTGTGAAACAAATAGAGATACTCCAGCTACTGATGACATAAAACAAATACTTTGCCATCTTACATGCCAGATGTTAGGGGGCAGATTGGAGGTAACTGCATGAAGACCTGGGGGCAGTGATATTTCCAAGTGATAGCCAGGTTGGCAAGATGGGGCGACACAGGCAGTGAAAGGTGAAGGGAGCAAGATGGGATGATAGGGAGCAAGATGAAGAGAAATGATGAGACCTTAGCACACTTATAAGCATAGGTGCGTTTCACATTGTTCATTACAGAGTCGACACTAACTAAACTAATTCTAATGAAACACCCATTAATATTCCTACTCCACAACATTAATTAAAAATGTTTCACATGAAAAACGTTAAAAAATAAAAAATTAGTAACTGAACTTTTCTGGAAGTAAACCAGCATTCACTCCATTATCATGTTGTTGTTTGTACGGATTTGCCTGTATTTGGGCTTGTGATAGGCGTATATGAAACCGGCATATAACTTGACTTCTCTATTCTTTACTCGGAGGAGGGTAACCAATCCCAAGTTACGATTTCCTGTGGTTGTACAAATCCCTGTCTTTCAAACATATGGGTAACAAATTATTTATTATACCGAGCAAGATGAAGATGATTGACAAATGCAGTCCGTTCAATAGACTAGTATTTAATAGTAATAAATTTTGCCCTGCAAAGTTTATAATCTAACACTATCCGTTCAAGCGCGTTTATTTATCATGCAATTTCGTGCAATTTTTGATCCTCGTATCTCCGGTAATTTACTAATTAAAGTAATTATATAAGTTAACCAAACACTGAAACAGTCACCTTAGTTGTTGATGCGCGTAGTAATATCACTCGCGAATACCCAGAAGCCTTTGTAAGTGAGGTGACGTCATGAGTTGCAGAATAAAAGTGTTCTTGTAAACACGTCGAGTTTCTGTCCTCCCCGCTCGTAAGTACTGGTCCTACGCTCAGGATCCACGTATTAACATTAGTTGCATTGCACTTCTTTTATAACTATACTGTACCACACGAATAGGGTAAACACTGTAGGATCACTTAAATTGCGCTAGATTTCAATCAATTCAATCAATTCAACGTTTCAATCTATTCAATTCAATAGATCTTTATTTTCGTCTGCATCTTCTGCGTCGTGAATGCATAGTGCTGCCCTCTATAACAAAAATTATTTTTATTGTTTTCTGCCAATCAGCGATGCTGTTTAAAAAAAGGTAAACATAAAATTGACGTGGGAGCAAAGCAAGATCCCTTTTTAGTGGTTACACACACAACCATAAATTTCACTACATCCAATAATAATAATGATAATAATAATGCTTGTAGTTTTACTCCCTATCAATTTACATTTTCACTAAGCTATCAAAATAATGACTTAATGTTACGTTTTTAAGTATTTTATATTTTTCTCGTGGTGCAAAATAGAAAACAATAGGTTCGGTGCTGTTCACCAATGACCTTGGTGGTACTAAAATCCATTAAAAAAAATGTGTTTTTTACCCGATTGTAACCATCATTCAGAGAGTCATTATTGCAGTTTTTATAGATTTCCGAAGGATGGAAGTGAAAAGCAACGATGGATTAATTTAATAAGTTATGCAGATATTTTTTTTCTAGGCATTTTGATGATGAAATCAATGTTGTAAGATCGTCTTGCTACCGATGCTTTACTGCTGTCTGCAGCGCACACACTCGTGTTTTAAGTACGCACAACACCATTTTCACGCAGTTAATGTTACGAAGCCAATGATTGTTTAGAACCAGTGGGGCTCATAGGGTCTATGTCCCCCAGGGTACTGCCGGAACGGTACCCTGGGTACGGTCCGGTATACCGGAACGTACCCTGGTAACTATTTGATATAGTTAGGGTTAGGGTTACGGTTAGGGTTAGGGCTAGGGTTAAGGTTATAGGGTTAGGGAGTAGGCGTAGGCGACTCCCTAGACTCGTTAGTGGAGTAGGCGAGGTACGGTCCAGCATATTAGATAGATAGTACCAGGGTACGTTCCGGTATACCAGACCGTACCCAGGGTACGTTCCAGCAGTACCCTGGGGGACATAGACCCTCTCAGCACCAGTGGGTTCGTTGTCATGCAACCGTGGCGTCATACTTCGGTGCTCTATTACAAAATATAAATGTATGAGTGCAACAACAATTGTGTTAAATGGTAACAAAGTGGCACAGAACACATACAACAAAGTCAACATAAATAAGAACGCCAGTGACAGCTGTGCAGAGTTACTCGGGAATCCTGGTGACCCTAGTGTAGGATGAATAGATGGTTGGATGGATAGATGGATGGATGGATGGATGGATGGATGGATAGATGGATGGATGGATG